TAGTATACGCATGGAAAATGTCTTCGTTTATCGCCAATGAGGCTTGTAAATTGATGTCGGCATTGCTGTAGCGCAATTTCATCGACCGTCTGACCACGTCGGACGTCCTGGCTCAAACGTTGTCACGATTAGTTTCGTTTGTCTTGAAGTTTACATAGAAAGTGTCATGCATTCATCGAACGATCCTTGAATCCGGATGCAGGCCCGTCTCTGCACACAACAGTGGCACTAAGCGTTTAATGGCAGCTATATCGGTAGAATACCGGTATACGTCTTCATTTTGTGAGTTTCGTCCAATTAGATCTTACAAACCCGACGATGGATCAAGCCGACCCCGCGACCGTTGATCCGCTTGCAGCGTTGGAGGCCGAGTATGCAGCGGTCGTAGCACAGAGTCGTATACTTTCTACAGACATCTCTTCTATACATCCAAGTGATGTAGAACTCGCTTGTAGCGAAGACGCAGAATTTGTTGCGTTTGAAGGCTTTGAAAATTACGCTTTGCTGCCTTCTTCGCCTTGTACGAGCGACGCTGAAGCATTCGAAACGTCTTTAAACGATGAGGACGTTAGTGAGAAAGATACGGACAATCCAAAAGAATCTCCAAGTGAATCAAAAACTGAGGAAATATCCTTAGAATGGAAGCATAATGGTCGTCTACTGGAGAGCAAACGAGAGGCTATTATGAAGAGCATGCAACAAGTAAAGATTCGTCCGCCTCCGTGGGCTCAAGCTGCGAATTTGACGGACGAGGAGCTGGTGAATATGGTAAAGAAACAGCTCGGGATGAAGTAACACTACTGGAGAGAGATTCTTACATGCTCAAACGTTTCAATGTCCAAACTATTTTATTTTACTTGCGCAGCAGCACGGCACTGGTTACTGCAGCAGCAGCTACAGCAGTGGCTAGATACCGCAGTGTTTGCTCACTAGGTAGCCATAAACTGGATTTGATGAGCGGATAGTCACGGACTTCTGTGGAAAACGGTAACGGCTCGCCCGTGACTGCATCGACCAGCGCTTCGTCCATTGACAGCACGCGTGTGCCACCGCCTACGCGAGATACGTACATCATCTTTATGCCGTTGGGGACGTGTGGGAGCTTGAATGTCTTGCCACTCTCGAGTTTCGTCTGCATCTGCTTAAGAAGCGCATCAGATGGAGTACGGTCAATAGGGATTGACGTCTTGATGGTCATCTTGAATGGTGTGGGGAAGCAGTGATGCATAAGTGACACGAGCTGCTGCACATGTTGCTCCTCGACAAAGATCACTGCATTCGGACCGGCATCGAATGTGTAGGCTGCCTGCACACAACCAGCTTGTTCATTGTAGCGGTGCACGAGTCGGATGACCTGGTGGGAAACATCATTCAAGTAGAAAATCGGCGGCGTCGTATCTAGACACATGGCATGGAACTGGTTGCTATCCTGCATTGTAAGTGTGCCAAACGTTTCAAAGTCCCTTTCCAAAATTGCCTTCTCCATCGTCTTCATCCGACCCGCTACCAAGTGGTTGACGCGGTACGTCAGCAGTGGACTCGTAGCCTTGGTCGTCTGCATGCCAATCGTGCTACTCGTGTCTTTCTGAGTATCGTTCACCACACACACGACGGCGCACAGCTCTGGCCAGTGCGTATCGTTGGCAACTTGAACAGCGATGGAGTCCCGTCCGTCGGGTCGCTCTCCTTTTTGCCAAGCCACGAAACCTCCGTCTAGACTTCTGCAGGCCGATCCAGAACCTTGACGCGCAATAGCCGACAGCTGACCTGGAAACTCCTCATCAGCCTTGGAGATGCCGTAGAATTCCGCCAACGTCGCGACGAGACACGCAAAACCAGCAGCCGACGACGCAAGTCCCGCAGCTGTTGGAAACGAGTTGATGGACACAATATGCAGGTGTTTCGTCTTCTGTTGACCATGTACTCGCTGTGCCAATTGCGCCATTTCCTGCAGCACAATTGCCACACGCTTCGTCATGGGCTGTTCCTGACCATTGAGCCACAGCCGCGTGCGCTGCAGCCTCGACCCACCAGCCACCGAAGTCGTCGTACGCAGCTGATCTTGATGCAATGTCACACTCATACTGGAATTCAGTGGCGTATTCAGCTTCACATGATTTTTGCCCCAATACTTGATCACTGCAATGTTCGTAGGTGCAGAACACGTCGCTACCTTCATATTCGCCTTGAGTATCGAAATAACTGACTTCATACCGACGGAAGTTTCATACCGGTATTCTGATTGTCTACTTTATTTTACTAAATGTTCCGTTATCTTACCAACACGTTTAATAAATTACCGTAAATTAAATTCTATCGTTACCACCACTTACGAACCGCTGGTTGTCATGGGCGTCATCTCTGTGGGCGCTTCATTAGGCGTACGTACATCACGCACCAATGTTTCTGCCCCCGTCTCCGTCTCTACATCAAGTACTTCAATACGCCGATCTTCTACGTCCTTAACATCCACTCCCGTGTTCTCTACAGCATCAAATAGTCGGAAAAAGTCGTCCAGGAAGCGTTTGCCCAGCGTCGTCACTAAAAAACGTAATATTTCAGCCAATCACAATGCGAATACGGGACGAAATGATCGCTCCGTACTTACAAATACTGGTACAATTACCGGTACAGCGGCCAGTGAGGCAGCGACCCTTCGATCCAGTGTTCCGCCATCTGTTTCAAGTGTTCCGCCATCTGTTGCAAATGTTTCGCCATCTGTTGCAATGGGAATCAATTGCAAGAAGCCCATTGGACGATTGGTTTACGTACGGACGACAATGGAACCGGATCGTCTGGTGCCGCATGTGATTGGTACAAATGGTGACAAACTCAATGCAATTATGTCACGTGCACGATGTAGTATCAGTTATCGGAATACGCAATCATTGGAGGATAAAGACAAGACAGATGCACAACAGATGGAATTTTCCATGGCATTTATGATCTCGGCCAATACAGTGAAACGAGTGGAGGACGGGGTGTTGCTGTTACAAGCAGTAGTAGAGAGTACCGAACAGCAATTGAGAAAGTATCAAGGACGTGGAAAGAGAGAGGAACAGATACAGGAGAAGACGAGGGAGAGGTGGGAGAAGAAAGAGAAGGACAGGTTTGTGGCAGATGATGAAAGAGAAGAGATGTTGCAGGAGGAGGCGTGTCATGCTCAAACGCAGATACAACAACAGAAAGGCTTTGAGACAGCTACAAGTCGAAATCGAAGTCGAAGTTGTAGTTTTCTTGGAGAAGAGACGATGACACTGCAACGACAGCGGCATCCAAAGCGTAAGTGGCAAGAGCTTTGTTTTTGTTTTTGTTGTTCTTTGTTTACGTTGTTTTTTTGGTCCCTAATTATGAGCAATGTGTTAGGTCGCCGAATTGGAGGTAGTGCGACAAGTAGTTCGTCAAAACGGGGGAGAAGCGCTGAGCACTGTAAACAGCAGTTGGTCCGGTCAGATCGACATTTGACTAGGAATGAGAATGAAGAAGGCAAAAAAGAGATAGAAGCTGTTGCTTCAGCAACAAGGGCAGAAAATGATCGCCGTTTGCGCGATGAAAGAGAGACGTTTCGGATACGAATGGCACGCACTGTAATGATCTCGCGGCGCTTAGAAGCTGAAGTCAAGCGTGCCCGTGCTCAAGAAGTATTGGAGCGTGATAAGTACTTACGATTGCGTCGCCAGTTTGAAGAGCTAAAGCATTGCAAAAAAGTCGCAGAGCTTGTGGTAAAAACGCAGTGCAACGCAATGGCGGCATCGTTATCGACTTCGTCATCAAGCAAGAAAAAACAGCATCTGCTTGGAATGGAGCGGCTTCATGTCGCCCACAATGCATGCCCGCTAGCGACCTGCCGATTGCATATGTCCGATTTGCGAGCACGTGGCGATGAGATTAATCGTATGAATGCAGGTAAGTTACGATTGCCTGGACTTCCATTTATTGGGAATGGATTGGCGGAAGACGATGACTTGGCATGTCTAGTGAGGAAGGTGCAAGCTTTTGGAAAAATGATCACGTCGGGTTCAATCGAGCTGCCAACTGTGGAGGACTCCTGTGTTCAATTCGATGCCGACCATGGTGAGGTGGTGAATACAATTGACTTGCCAAGTGAGGACGAAGATGAATGTTTGGATATAGACGTGACGAATGCGGATGAGACGGTGGCTGATATGCCCATGGAGACATTAGCAGAAGAAAGTGAAGTTCGAGGCGAGGAGAAAAGCAATTCTCGACGCGATTCTTTCCGCTCGACATGGGATCTTCCTGGTCTGACCCGCGACCTCAATTTGATTCAGGATTATTCATCAGAAACGGACTGCAAATTACTGCGCTTTTTGGCAGGTGAACGCCAGTATTTCTACCTGGAGTTACTCGTAATTGACAGCTCGTACTCGCGCGAGGTAGAGAGATGGCTTCTTACCGCTCATGATATTCAGATACTACGTCAGTATGTGTTGGAGCGCGCTGATATCGGGAAAGAAATTGTAGTGTGTGCTGAACGATTACGTGCACTCGGTGACTTGGTGCCACCTCTTTCCTTTCTGTCAGATGGAAACTCGTTGACTAGCGAGTTGGGAGTGTTTGAGTCCTCACGCCATAAAGAATGGAGTGAGTTGCAGGACAAGGTCGTTACTTTGCATACACTGGCTTTGGTGGCCCATATGCTGGGAAAGCACTACCTGGCTAGACAAGTGGTTGGAAGAAGTAATCGAAATACTAACGCTACATGCACCAGTCATGATAACCTTCTGGATGAAAGTACGCTGAAATCTGATCTGTTTACGTACATTCTACGCCCGATCCGATCTTCTGCAATCGAGTCCAGTCTATTTGACTTGCTGCCAATTTCGTTAGTGCGCGAAACCATTGAGCAGTGCCCTGAGGTCGTGAACCACGTGCTCCAGTGGAAAGGCAAGGATGACGTGCCGGAATACCTTCATGAGATTAATCCGTGTGACGCTCCGGTTGGTGATGTGGCATTTACTGCAAGTGGACAGCAAGTGCATCCCAGCAGTAACTACTTCTTAAGGAACCTGTTGCTAAGGCTTACGGCATACATGCGGGATCTGGATGCGACTATAAAAGCGCTAGTGTCCACACTGAAAGAGAAGCGACCTAGCCGCCACAAGAATAATGCTATTCACACTAGCCGGCGTCAAGAACGCATCATCACGCACGTGAATCGTTTGAAAACTGTTACAGCACATGTGGTTGTTGAAAACACGAAGCTTCAGCTTCACAAGTGGTGGATCCTCTTCGCTGAGAACTCATGTGCGTGGTTTGATCCAGATAGTGTTGATGAAATGGACGACAGGTCGTACGATAAGTTTACGTGCCTTCAAGATGCCTTGTACATTTGGCACAATGAGGCACTTCTGTATACAACTAAGGATGATTTTGTGGACCCTGAACGTTTGGAAGATTCCGCATATAATCAAACTGAAAGCACTACAGCTGACGGCGAATACAATGCTGCCTCTGTGTCGTACCCTTACGCCGCGATGTCGAGAGGTTCTAGTCGTACGCCTATTCCACGCGATGAAGAAGTGGCTGCACTAATTCAACTGACTCCTGAGAGCTTGCGTGACGAGGTTCAAAACCGGCCATTTACGGCCGAAGAGGCGGAAAAATGTATTATGACGCCACGAGATGTTGAAAATGCGCGCGCTCAACTAGAGGAATCGCTAGCAAGTACCCGAGATTTAATGAACGAGTTGGGGCGCTCTGGTCCGTGGCGCAAACATGTTAAGCATTCTAACAGCTTAAAATGCGAACTGGCTAAGCAATTAGCGATCCGAGAAAAGCTTGTGAAGCATCAGTGGGCTCGATACTATACGAAGTATCAAGAATTTGCACCACCACAGACCCAAGATGCAAGCTCAGACCAAGAGGATGAAGAGAAGACTCCATTTGAGAACGCTAATAGCCAGCCGCAAGGTGAGCCGACCGCTGAAAGTGGTAGTGACGCAGCATCGATGGCGATCGATTGGACTGGTGTATTTGATCCTGAGAAGGATGCCCCAGACATTATTGAGATGAAAAAGCTTCGACATGAAATTACTTTGGCAAAGGACCAACTATTGCGCGACATCAGCCGTGACGGCAAGAATGGATGTGGTGTAACGTTACAGTCATCTTTACTTAATGGTGACCAGAAGGCACTGGTGGAAGAATGTAAGGGGCTAGCTGCGTCTTGCATGCAGGCACTGGGCAAATTTTTGGGTATGGAGGAGACTTGTGAGACGGCCACGGCACCGGTCCAGAAAAAACACACACGATCCACACCGAAAGCTATCCGACCTAGAAGCAAGCGTCCCACTGCGGCTGCTAAGGGTGACAAGACCACCCGGACGTCTACCAGACGGCAGACGCATGGATCGAAGAAAGCAAGTGGGCGCGCTTTGAGAAGCGGTCTAGGAAGCAGAAGTCGACGAAGCGAGTCTGTTCGCGTGGCAAAGGCTCTAGCAGCGTCAAATGCTAATTTCTTGCTTCCTCTTGCGCGATCATCTGGGTCAAGGACGTCATCGTCGAGAGTGATGTCAGCGCGCAGCATTGGCAGTAGTTGCGACCTACGTTCCGAAGACAGCCCGCCACTACGAATGGGGTGCTCAGGCTGCCGTGACTTGCGACGCCGTTGTACGGGCTGTTCCGGCTGCTGTCTTCATTGCGTGTGTGTGAGTTGCGGGTGCCGCATGTGCTGCTCATCTCGGCTTTCTGCTGTCCAGAAAACGATGACTCAGATGCTGGATGTGATTGAGGTTAATGAGTCCTGTAAGTGGATGAGCAATGCGTCGGCAGGGAGTGAGGGACATCGCTGTGGTATGTTGTTCTTCTGTCAACAATGTCATTCTTGTGAAGATCACTGTCCGTGCTTGTTGACCCGGTCTGCTTCTGAGCCTGCGGCTGGATCTACAACCGCGGCGCGGCCGACAGCTGATGCAACTTATAACTCTACCGGCTCCTCGTCTGAGGTTATAGCCTCATCCAATGCTACTCCAAGAGATACGGCTTCGTCGGCATTCTCTCGTAGACAACGGCGCTTCAGGATTAATGCCATAGCAGCTCAACGCCGTAGTCCTAATGCGCCCATGGATGACACCGTTGATAATGACGAGTCAGCTTCAGTTCACATCAATGATCCGAGTGGGAACCGCGGTCCAGCTCGTACATGTGGTGGTCGTGGTCCACTGCCAACGTTCGACTATGGCATTGACGACGCCTTCGGTCTTGGCCCGATAGCTCCACCCGGGCAATGTCGCACGTGGCGGCCAGCACCGTCCGACAAGAACGAACAGGAAGATCTATTTCGTGCGGCTCGCGTGCGCATGAAGCTGGTGCGTTCAGCATATGCTAAACCTGTGGGTCTATCATCAGGCTCCGGTTGCTTGGATGGGGAGCAGCTATGGCAACCAGAGCGAATCCGAATGATGTGGGAGCGTCGTGACTTTCATGGTGTGTTGGGGCTACCGCGCGACGCCTCTGTCCAGCAGATCAAGCGCCAGTACCGTAAACTCGCACTCAAGCTGCATCCTGACAAAGCATCTGATGCTTCAGCCTCGCTGGAATCTACCGTCGCTGAAGCTGGACGCAACGTTGGAGCAAGTAACTCTGGCAAGCGCGTGGATGCCTTTGTTGCTGCCACGCACTCTTATAAAATTCTGCTTGGGGACGTTGATGCCATCCATGCACGGGCTTGGGCAGGTTGAACAAATACGAACGAAGCTCGTTTTATCAAGCGAGGCCTTGTGGTCTATT